AACAACGACAATAACAACCACACCAGCAACAACCACAACCACAACCACGGCAACAACAGCATCATCATCAGCCGCAGCAGCGGCATCATCGTAACCATCATCACTATCAAACTCAACATGGTTCGTTCTTCCCCTCACCACCACCACCATCACCATCACCATCACCATCACCATCATCAGGATCAGCATCATCATCTTCATCCTCATCCTCATCCTCAGCATCCTCAGCATCCTCATCATCATCCCCATTAGCATCGTCGTCATCATCAGCATCATCAAAATCAGCCTCAGCCTCAGCAGCATCATCATCATCGTCAGCATCATCGTCATCGTCATCATCATCGTCATCATCGTCATCATTATCGTGACCGTCATCGTCATCGTCATCGCCATCGTCATCGTCATCGTCGTCCTCGTCGTCATCGTCGTCATCGTTGTCGTCGTCGTCCTCGTCCTCGTCTTCGTCCTCGTCCACGCCATCGTCCTCATCACCATCGTCGTCGTCCTCGTCCTCGTCATCATCCTCAGCAGCATCATTAGGATAATCATCATAGACTTTTTCATCGGCAGCAGCACCCTTGTCCCCATCATCAGCATCAGCAGCAGCATCCTCCTTGTCATCATCTATCCCCCGTCCTCCGTAATCCGCATCGCTCCTTCTCAGCAGTGCAGTCCGTCAATGCATTGATCGTTCACGTGCTATCCGCCTCGCCCTTTCTCGTGAATACAATCAGCCTTGCTCCTTCTAATCTGCGTGATTCGTCATGTTTGTACGTTTGTTCACTCATACTTCGTTCACCCTTTTCCTCATTACGGAGGCGGAAGGAGCAGAGGACTCTGGACAACACAAACAAGCCGCATGAGACACCCCAACGATCTGGGTCCCCTTGGGGTGCTGAAACCGGCGCCTCGCCTGAGACATCAACACCATCTGCTCTGAAAGCAGAAGAGTCTGGGGGGGCCCAAACTGACAAACCGCCCGAGACGTCCCCACAACCTGGGTGCGAACGGGCATATGCAATCACCCCTGGCGGCTCCCCCCTGGTGTCAGGAAATCAACACATATACAGCAACATCCTCACAATCTGCCCTGAAAGCAGGGGAATCTGGGGAGGGGAGGGGGACCAAGCAAACCACCTGAGACTTCCCCACCATCTGGACGCGAACGGGCCCGTGTAACCTCCACTGGCGGCTCCCCTTTGAGCGCTTCGCCCGAGACATCCTAACAATCTGCTCAGAACGCAACGGAGCCTTGGGGGCCGAAAATAGCAAATCGCATGAGACTTTCCCACAGTCTGGGGGCGAACGGGCCTGTACAACCACCCCCTGCGGCTACCCCTTGGAATATTAAAACCAGCACCTCCCTCGAGACATCCTCAAAATCTGCGAATGTGAGTGCGAGTCCGTCGCAAGTCTGAGTACGAGCGAATCTGAGTGTGAGTGAGTCCGGGTATGAGTGAGTCTGAGTACGACTGAGTCTGCGTATTAGTGAGTCTGAGCACGAGTGAGTCTGAATGAGTCTGAGTATGAGTGCACATCTAAGTGTGAGGGAGACGGAGCGAAGAGAGTAGGAGGGTGAGGAGGCGGCGGCGTCAGAGTAAAAACAAGAACCCATCTTAAGATATTGGGGTAAAAAATGCGAGCCAAAGGGATTCAAAATAAAAACACAACGGGCACCCGTGGGGGATCAACCGTAAGTATTCAAAAATGAAAATAAAACCAATAGTTTACAGCTGCTAGATCTTCGTCTTTCGCGTGTCATTCAACATGTGCGCCTCGAACACTCGATATCCGCCCTCTTCGCCTTGGTCGTACGTCCTCTGGGTGGGCATGCTCATTGTATGCCACATGTAGTTGGCCTAGACGAACATTTGGAAGAGAGGGAGACAAATGAAAAGCAAGGGGGCAAGATGATGGCAAGATCATTGACGACGAAAAAGATTCCGCCATAGGGGGAGGAGAGAGGAGCAGGAAGATCGGCGAACGTACCCCCTTTGGGGGTATATCTTCCTTTCCTGCCAGGTTTAGTTCGCGCGGCCTTCGAAATAGGAGGATGACGAGGAGGGGGACAGGGCAGCGACGAAAGCATGAGCACGAGAACGGAGGGGGCAAGAAGAAGGGGGGAGGATTGAGGGCGAAGGAGCTTCAGCAGGACGGGGGAAGGAGCAGGAGCAGTGCTTTCGGCACGCGGACCCCGACCTGCGGGCCGGGCCCGACGGGCGGGCCGGGCGGGCCGACCCTGACAGGCGTGCCCGGCGGGCGTGGCATCGAGGAGGGCGTGCGGGCTTCCAAGCAAGCGAAAGACTAGACACCCTGACGCGCAGGTCGGGCGAGCGAGCCCCAACGGGCGGGTCGGGCGGGCGGACCCTCGCGGGCGGGTCGGGCGGGCGGACCCTCGCGGGCGAGTCGGGCGGGGCACTGAAGCGGGCGGGCTCCCAGGCAGGCGAACGGGCGGACCCTAACGGGCGGGTCGGGCGGGCGGACCCTGACAGACGGATCG